AAAAAGAGTACCATATTAGGTTTGGCTTTGGAACCTAGGCCTTAACTCGTTTTTTCACGTCATGAAGAAGTTTAGGTGTTTGATGACTGGGTATTGTCTGACAATCATGTAAATGTGTTGATAGTGCTTGACAGAATTCTATGCCCCTTTCCTATATTTGCACCTTCTGTTTTTGTGTTTGCAAAAATACCACTTGTGAATGACGCTTAAAAAGAGGACCACAAGCGGCCGTGACTCCAACCAAGATGGCAATTTTGTGAACACACAGACAAAAAGTGGCATCTTCTGAATTTCCTTTTTTCTAATTCTTGTTCTGTATGATCTTGAGAAACCTTAAGCATTCTGGTAGTCCGTAATTTGAAGTAGAGCTATCCAATTTTGTTTATTTACTTAATATTATTATTTTTGCTGTTTTGTTTCCTTATTATTCTTAATATTATTGGTGTCTTAATCAGCATCTGGTGCTGTAAGAATTCACTCTAGTTCAAAAATACTGTAGACATGGGCTTAAATAAAACAAGTTTCCCGTTTTAAAACTTTATTTGGCTATTTTCTTTTTTTTTTTTCCTCCTGTTCGTGGTTTTTCAGGCTCGTGGCAAAGACGTCAAAGTTGGAAGACGAGAAGATGCAGAAAGAAGCAGAAGTTCGAAAACTGATGGATGAGAATGTGAGGCTGAGTGCTCTACTTGACCAGAAAGAAGCCCAACTCGTGGCCATGAATGAGCAATGCAAGGTTATGGCACTAAATGCTTCTGACATTTAGTTTGATAGTGTTGCATTCACCTTCAAGTAGGGGAAAAAAAAAACAGATTGGTACTTGCTTTGTTGTTGACTTGTTGTATTTCCTCTTTGACGAGTGTAAAAAATTTGATCGGATGCAGTAATTTTTCACTTTTGTGTGACCCTTTTTCTGTTTGTGCTTGATTAAACTCTTTCGTGTAACCAGTTGGCCTGTTGTTTTCTCTCAAGCCCTATCAATTGAATGTCTTTAGAAGTTCTGCTCGTATTAAAATTATCTATGAAACATATGAAGATTAATTTTACGTTGATGAGAACTGGCTTCTATCATGAGAAGTTTCTCCCAAGTCTTGGCCAACTTTAACTGTGTTTTCACCTTCCAACTGATGGCCCAAAATTCTGTGTAAGCCATTAGCTTGTTGGGTGCTGAAAGACCATATAAAGGGAATTTACAACTATGATGAAATTGAAAGACATCTTGGGCTTGTTAGCTTAACTGTTGGGTGCTGAAAGACCTAATAAAGGGAATTTATAATTGGTACTTAACTGTTAGCGGATTCTATTACCTTTTTTTTACCAGCGAAGACTAATATACATTGTTGCTAGTGTTTCTGAAAGTTTTTTGTATAATACGATCATTTGAAAAATATTTCATATTTATTTTTACATTGTCTTTTTATTGCAACTTTACGAGATTTTTCTTAATAAATTTACATTTCGTTTACTTCAGTTTACCATAGGTTCATAACAGTGAACTACAAATTAAGGAAGCACAAAAATACAAGAACTACAAATAATGAAATATAAACCATACTTATACCTATGAACATGAAAAATGGGGCCTTTATTTAAATGGGATGGTCAAAGCATTATATTATATAAATGACCCTCTCAAGATGTTTTTTGTTCAAATGACCCTTCATTAAATAAAATGTAAATAGATAAATGAAATACCTAAAATAGCCTTATATGATAAATGACTATATTAACCCTTCTTCTAATGACCAACATTAAAAATTCTCTCGCCTGAGAGCGCTCTGCATTCTCTCGCCTGAGAGCTTTCCCGTTTGTTAATATCCTCTTCTTCGCTGATTCTTTCAATTCTCACTCCCCATCGTTTCAATCTCTCGCACCTTCGTCATACTCTATTTCCTTCTCAGTTCATAGGGTTTTATATTAGGGTTCATATGGGATCCCCAAATTGCATTGGGCAAGATGAAGAATTATCCCAGAAGCTGCAGAATGTGTCCCTATCAGCTAAAGAGCACTCCTTTATAGACATTGGGCATGAAGACATTAAAATCAGTGCGGATGAATGTCAACGTAGCTTATTTGGGAAAATTGTAGGAGACCGGAAAAACAGTTGGATTGGCGTCAAACGGACAATGAGCCAGATATGGAGGCTTAACCAGCCCATGGACATTAAGGAACTCGGGCCAAACTATTTCCAATTTATATTCCAAAGCAAGGAGGACAAGGAGCGAGTGGCCAAGGGCATCAACTGGACGTATGACAACCAGTATCTCATTCTTTCAGAATGGAAAAGAGGTCTGTCTTTAAACCACCCAACATTTAATGACCTCAACTTATGGGTTCAGGCCTTCAATGTGCCGCTGGACTGGCTAAGCACTGAAGTAGGCAGTAAAATTGGGAAGGTGTTTAAACAGGTGCAAAATGTGGTTATTGTTAGAGCTGGCAGCCATGGTGGAAGAATTATGCGCCTTCTTGTCACAATAGACCTAAAGGAAGCCCTACCTCGATGTGCTAATCTCAGAATGGATGATCAAACAGTCAATGTGGGTTGCAAATATGAAAAGTTAGTCAACCATTGTCATTACTGTAGCCTCATAGGACATCTAGATAGAGCATGTGCATTGAGAATGGATGATATCAAAACAGGAAATGTTCAGGAGGGTCAATATGGTGCATGGATGAAGGCTACTGAAAGCCACCACTGGGCAGGCATTAATTCTCAGAGAGCTCACAGTCCTTCAGACACAGAAAACCCATCCTCACCCACAACCTCTAACACCCGCACACCTACTCCATCCTCCCACCAAAATGATGATAACCTAATCCTCTCCATTGAAGGCTCACCAACTCATCACCAAAACTCAGCCTCTGAAACCTCTACCTCACAACCTATTCAGGTCCTTTCTCCCATCTTCAATGATATGCCTCAGGACATTCCCTCATCCTCTAAGTCCCCTCAGGAAGTTCTGGTGCCTCATAAGCCAATCCAAATCCTCGCTCAGGAAATGGAAGTGGATAACTCTCAGCACCCTATTAACCTGGAGAAGTCTCTGCAACTTTCTACTTCAAGTAAGCACCTTGCTACACCTAAACTCTGGAAAAGATCAGAATCCAAATTAGGGAGATTACAGAGACAACCTATTGCCTCTCCACTCCAGGTGGCTAACACATCAGTTAAGAGAACCAGAAAGGACAATGATGACCAAAATACAGCAAATCAGTCTCAAAACCAGAATCCTGAAGGGAATAAGAAGCAGAAAATTGACTCTGAAAAGGTGGGGGTGGCCAGCCTCGAATGGCGCCCAAGTGACCAATGTAAGCCATGGTGTGGAATTGTGGAGGGCTGGGTGGGCCCTCTACAATTTCCCAAATTCGAGAGTCATTGAGAACTCACCACCCTGCTTCTATATTTCTGTCAGAAACAAAAAAATCCTCAGCCTTTGTTAAATCAGTAGTTAGGAAGCTTGGTTTTGATAATAGATGTTCTATAGTGGATCCAGATGGCCTCAGTGGTGGATTACTTCTGTGTTGGGTTTCTGAAGTTCAAGTTGACCAGATCATTTCTCATCCCTTCTACATTGCCGTTCAATACAGATTTGTAGGACAACCCCACCTGGGGGATTTTTATTTACCTTAGCACCAACTCCTTGGAAAGACAGGCACAATGGGCAGAACTGGAATTAGCTAAGCATCAATGGGGTCATTCCTGGTATATTCTAAGTGATTGGAATGCTATCTGCAGAGGGGAAGAAAAAAGAGGAGGCATTGACAGACCCTCTTCTAGTATCGAAGGTTTCAACTCTTTTATTAATCACATGGGGATGGAGGAAATCAGAATGACAGGGTATAAGTTCACTTGGTGTAACAATAGATTTTCTGAAGGACTCATAGAAGCCAAGCTTGATAGAGGCTTTGCATCTGCTGATTGGTTGGGAAGTCACCCACAAGCCTCCATTTTCAATATTGCAAGACCAGCTTCTGATCACACCATGCTTTTGCTCAACTCAGGAGACAGATCTGTAAGAAGGAGAAGCAGGTTCCATTTTGATAAAAGATGGCTTTTAAGGGATGGAATTCATGACATTGTTCAAGAAGCTTGGAGCAAATCTTTTACTGGCACTCCCTTCTTCATTCTCAAAGAGAAAGTTAAGGCAACTAGGCAAGCTTTATTAATCTGGAGTGCAAATTTCAAATCTCAGAACCAATCTCTCATTGACAATCTTTCAAAAAAGCTGGACTCTATGCAGCAGGAAGAAGGTGTTACCAATTGGGATGAGTGAGTCACTACAAAAGCTGAACTTCAGCAAGCACACAAACTGGAAGAGCTTTTCTGGCAACAAAAATCCAAAGTTCAGTGGCTCAAAGAAGGGGACAGCAACTCTAAGTTCTTCCATGCATACACTATGTCCAGAAGGAGACAGAATGCCATTACTAGACTCCTTACAAATCAGAACACCTCCTGTGAAACTCCTCATGAAATCCAGAGCCACATCAACCAGTTCTACTCTGATCTTTTCACATCAGAAGGGTCTTGGGGGGGTGATTCCATACTCCCTCTCATAAATCCCTTTATTACTGCTGAGATGAACCAACTTCTTCTCCTACCAACCTCAGAAGATGAAATAAAGGGAGCTCTCTTCAGCCTTCAACCAGACAAATCTCCAGGAGAGGATGGTATGACTGCTCTCTTCTACCAATCCTTTTGGGAACTTATTAAAAATGATGTGGTGTCTGCTACTTCCAGTTTCTTGAATGACAAAGGGCTTATTTTAAAATACTGGAACCACACTATAGTCACTCTTATTCCAAAGTGCCTGAACCCTGACTATGTGACCCAGTTTAGACCTATCAGCTTGTGTACTATCATCTATAAATTGATTTCTAAAATTCTTGCCACCAGACTTCAAAAGTGTATGGATGTGTGCATCAGTGACTCTCAGTCTGCTTTTATCAAGGGGAGGCAACTTATGGACAATATTATTATTGGTCATGAGGCCTTTCACTTCTTAAACAGGCATTCTTCTTCTAGACACTGTTTTATGGCCTTGAAACTAGACCTCATGAAAGCTTTTGACCGAGTAGAATGGATTTGTTTGAAAAATATTATGCTGCAAATGGGATTTCATCAGGACTTTGTCAATCTAATCATGATCTGCATTTCTACTTCCTCATTCTCCTTTAAGATTAATGGTGAAGTTAATGGTTATGTTCTGCCCACAAGAGGAATAAGGCAAGGGGATCCCCTTTCCCCTTATCTGTTCTTAATCATTGCTGAAACCTTATCTGCTCTGATCAACCAAGCTACTGCCTCTGATCATCTTACTGGTTTGAAGCTATCCACAAATGGCCCTGCACTCTTCCATCTACTCTTCGCTGATGACTCTCTGATTTTCTGTAAGGCCACTGTTGATCAGGCACACTCCATCCTCACTATTTTGGAAAGATACAAGCTTTTCACTGGGCAGTTGGTTAATTTCAGCAAGTCTTCCATCTTCTTCAGCAGGAAAACTCCTGATATTCTCCAAAACAGAATCTGTGCTGCTCTACCTGGAATTGTTAGGCATAGATCTACCAGATATCTCGGCCTTCCACTAGGCATTGGTAGATCTAAGCTTGACACTTTCCATTTTATTATTGATTCTGTCCAGAAAAAGATTAGCAATTGGAGGTCAAAGCTACTCAGCCAAGCTGGGAAATCTGTGCTCATCACTGCTGTTTTACAAGCCCTTCCAATGTTCACTATGTCCTGTTTTATGCTTCCAAAAACTCTTTGTGCAAAAATTTCTCAGCTATGCTCTCAGTTCTGGTGGAGCACAAATGATGATCATAGCAGTGGTATTCATTGGAGAGCTTGGAACAAACTGACACTTCCCAAGGACTATGGTAGACTTGGTTTTCTTGATCTTCAACTGTTCAATGCTGCACTCATTTGCAAACAACTGTGGAGAATCACCACACAGCCCAATCTCCTGGTGAGCAGAATCCTAAAGGATAAGTATTTTCCTCATTGCTCTATTTTTT